TGGCCAATTTGTCTCAGTTCAAGTTATCAGCGATTCAAAACAGAAGCTTTGCTTATTGTCTTAAAATAATACCGTAATTTTTCTAAAACTTTTTTATCCATGTTTTTGCCAGAAGTGACCACATTTGCCAGACAAGTTACATAGGACATTCTTAATGTTAATTTATAGTTGTCATCCAGATTGCAATTCTGGGGAAAATACTCAAAATATGTTTTGTGAGACCTGGAAAAGGTACAGTTTTGCCACATAAAAACCCCAAAGTGCTTTGTGCACAGAAGTAGGTGGAAATTAGGAAGATGACATGCAAATACCTATGCTGGAATTTTGCTAGAGCAGATCAAAACATTTCTATTTTGATAATAAACACCGCTAAGGTTCTTTGTAACCCATGTCGAGAGACAGCATTTGTAGAGACAAGCCAACAAGTGGAATCTTTTATAACCCTTCCTGCAGAAGTCAGAGGTCCTATTCTTTCACAAACCCCGTCTAACATTTAAAACAGAAAAAAAGTTGGGGTACAACTCTGAACTCAATGGTCAAAAGTGGCATCCTTACAAAAAGGACAATATATGCCTCAAACAGAACTGTAACTGAGATAGAACAGCAGCTTTAATAACAGCAGCACCCTGCAATTCCTGGCGAGTTCTTGCAAGCGATGAGCAGAAGCGTGCTCATGCAGCTGAGTAGCCATATCTTGTCTGGCTGACAGAGAGACATCTAACCATAGAGGTCCTGTAGCTACTATGAATGGAAGCCTCAGAAAGAACAGCTTATTGCCCACACGGTGTTCCCACTGAATTTTGAAACACTGTCTACAAAAATGTAGTCTTTCACTCAAAAAATCTACCAGTGACTACCAGTAGTAGTAACTTAATCTAACAATTACAACAATGTAGTAAAATCAATCCATGTTTCACAATATAAGCACACAAGGAAAAAAACTGCTTCCTACTCTTAGAAGATGGATTTAGTGCAAAAAAACACAGAACTTTGTAGCTGGTTAATACCAAAAGAGCAGTAGCTTAAGTAACTCCACCAGTAATAGAGAGTCTATTGGTACGTTAAGCAGAAGCAATGCACAAACAAAAGAACAAGACAAACTTTTAGGCATACTGGCTATGGCTTATTTTCCTAATGAGATTACTGGTTCCTCAACAGGAAAGATTTTTAGAAAGAGCACTACAAAGTCTAGGGTAAGCGGGACTGGCCAATAAGCCTGTACGACTATTTGCTTGGGGGTTTTCTTGCATACTTTTCTTTATTGAAGAGATGGGTGGAGAAAGGAACTCTTAAGAACTGCTTTTTTATTCTGCCCAACTTCCCATTTTCCTGTTCTTCCTCTCCTCCCTGTGAATACTTGGCAACAATATATTTTTAAGAAATACTCTTAATTAACCATTACACAAGGCAAATGGTACGATTAAAGAATATAGTTAGGGAAACCGGTTTCCCTAAAAGCAGGAAGGCAACTCTAAACAAATACAAAAAATAACTAGTTTCTCTCACTCTCTTAATATACAGTATTATATATACATACTTGATTTTGGTCAGCGCATTATAGCACACACTCTTTGAGTGCAATAACTACTCTTTCCGCATAAAAAAATTGGTCATGAAGAGTGAACAATGCATGGCCAAAACACAAAATACAACCATTTAATGTTAATTAGACATCAAATACTTACTCAGGAAATTGCTTTAGTGTCTTGATGACGTATATATGCTCAAGTATTGAAAAATTTGAAAGAAAGCGTTTTGAAGGTGAAAACTTGCTACAAAAAATACCCCATTATTAAGTAACCAAACTCCTTGCCCCTAAGTGCATCCTGGCCAAAGGCAGATGATCCACAACAGTCACAGAAAGGTTTCAAACCACTCAAAACAGCTGATGTTACTATTGATTCAATCTGGCACTCGAATTCAGAAAGGCAGTGATTTAGAGCTTTGAGTACAAGAGCTGTAGCTTAACAAAGGCCTACCAGCACCTATAGAGATAGGCACCACTTTCTGTATTCAGATTAACCCCCAGAAACATGACAGAAGTATGGACAGATGGTATTTGAGGCCAAGGTCAACAATGAGGTCACCACAACCTTCAAGCTAAGGGCCTGTGATAAGACACATTTGCTTTAATCACATATTCTTAACAGATAGTGCATTTCCCATACTGTATTTCCAAGTTGGAACTAGATTGATGCACAGCTTTTGTTTTCAGAAGTTTATTAATGTTTTATGCTACAAGCTTAGTTTTAGCTCTGGATGTTAGCATTAAGGAAACAAGACGATGGAACTAATTTATTACAACTCTTCTGAATGTAAGCTGGCCAAAATAATTTACTCTAGTAATACTAGCTTGCCCCCTGTGGAACTGAAGTCTAATTGTGCCTCATAGCATAACAAAAAAAGAAAATTCAAACGTGGTACCAATTTAAAGAAAACATACTTTCAGCTTTCATTAAAAACAAACAAACAAAAAACCCCCAAAGCTAAACATCTTGGGAATCCTGGAAATCAGAACCAACCAAACTTACTTTTTCATATGAGCAACTCACCTCTATCTGGAAATGTGCCTTCCACTCTTATTATAAGTAAAATCTCTGCTGGAAAATTACAGAAATGTTTTTTCCTGTCTCTTCATTTGCTATGTATGACAGCATTTTGTCTGAAGCCAGTTTCTGCTGTTTGCCAATGGTTTTGTCCATAGCCTCTTCCCCAGGGGGTTTCACACAAGAGGAAAGACTCTTTCATAAAAAAATATATCAAATTAGCAGGCAACTTTGGAGGGGGTGTGTGATGATTAATATGTGAAATATCCAAGTTTTGAGAAAACTGAAAATCTACAAAGCCCTTACACACAAGAGTATTTGGAAGAGACAAATACTTCCCTTTAAACACTGTGTTTATTATTAAAAAAAACTAATCAATTTAAAATTTAAAAAACCATAAAACACCACCAACCCAAAACCAAAGTCTTCAACACCTGAATTCACTCCATGTGCTCAGAGCCAGATTCAGCAAAATACGACACATGCCCAGAGTGTACCAACTTACCTGAGAAATGAAGGTATGCTGTAGCAGTTTGCAGAAGGTATCAAAAGCCTTGCAAAATTAAATCAAATTTTAGAAGGTAAGAGAAATGAAAGCCAATGAGAGGGAGCTTTTGTACACATTATCATTACTGCCACAGTCATCTAGCTCTTTAGGGAACAATAATTAAGAAAACTCCTACTTTAATTCTACAATCCTTTTGCATGTGCACACACTCTCAAGATCAACGCAAACTATTCTTGTGGCATAAACAATAACTTCCACACAGGAGAGTATCTACCTCTGCTATACCCCTATAGCTTACATTGCACACTTCCTCAAAATAACAGATCCCTAGGCAGAAGCAACAAGTAAAGACTACTAGCCTACCAAGTCTGGTTTTTTTAAAAGAACATATTGTTTTAGTTCCCATTTAGTGTTCCAGATTAGAGTCTCTCATAACCTTTATAATCCATTCCTTGCAAGTCGAAATCAGACTGTTATAAGCAAATACAACAAAGAAGTGAGTAAATGCAGGTTCTCAAACCTGCAAAATAATTTTAATTTAAAATACAGAGGATTGCCCTGCAGCATTCAGTTTTAACTGGTTTTAGATGTGAACAATCACAAGGGTTACCACCCACATATTAAGCTGTTATTTTTTAAATGAATTACTTTTTCACACGCAGCAGTTTCTACCATGATCAGCATATGCTTTGTAGCAGGATTTTTTATTTTTTTTTTTTTTAAAAGCCACACTGAGCAGAAATTATTACACTTTAAAACATTTCCAGCAACAACCTGAAAGTGAAACTGGTTTCACGGGTTTTCTACTCCTCACGTTGAGGACAAAGTCACAATATAAACAGTCATAAAAATTATATAGAAGTGGGAAACTGGATTGCAAAGAATCCCGAACTTTTGAAGGGCTAATAGCAAAGAACACAGCACTTAAAGTGAGCGCGACTGGAAAACTAGAACTTGAAGGCTTTAACTACAAGAGGAAGTTGCTGAAAAAAAAAACAGCACTTGGCTGGACCACTGCGAGAACGCCTGGATCGCTGAATACGAGATAATCTGAAACTTTTTGCTCCCGACCCTGACTGCTGGCAGGAAGGAGGAGGAGGAGGAGGAAAGGAAGGACAAAAAAACCCCCCGCCCAGGCG